CTATCTATCTATCTATCTATCTATCTATCTATCTATCTATCTATCTAGTTTCTGATTCTTTAGTCAGTTTACTTGCTCCATTTTGCTTCATCTTCCTACCAGCATGTAAGATTAAGCCTGGTGGCTCATTGTAGAGCATTTATGGCACAGCTCCAGTAAGTGCGCGCGCGCGCGCGTGTGTGTGTGTGTGTATGTGTGTGTGTTCAGCTTCCTTTCCTCCCCTAATTATGCCTCCTTGCCTACATTAAATTATGTCTCCAGTTAAATAGTCAGGTCTTTCTTTTTTTTTCTTCTGTTCTGGAAATCCCCCAGCATGCTTGAGGACCTACGAATGAAATATTAATTAGCGATGTGGATAAATGAGGGAATTCCTTTTCAGTCAGTAATTGGACCTATAAGTGTGTTTTTTTTTTTTAAATAGGAAGAGATCTTGGGAAAGAGGAGAAAACCTAAGCGTGGTGGTGGTGGGGTGTCAAGTATCTCCTTTTTCCAAATTCCTTATAGCCCATCCAGCAACTAGTTTTGCAGATTGAGGGTTTAGGGCGTACGCCCTCTTCCTTGTTTTTCCTACAAAGTAGTAAGGAATCACTAGATTCCCAATCGGTAACACCTTAGCCATAGTTGAATGCTATGTGGAATGTGAGGCCTCCAGTTATCCTGACATATCACAAGTATTGAGAATTGTCAATAACACAGTTTGCAAAAAAATAAAAAATAAAAATTCTAATCCCGGCAGCGTGACAGACGTATTTTCCAGTCTGCCGTACTATCCGGTCTTCATAACAAGTCTATTTTTCTCCACAATGCGGATGCTTTAAACTATTTTGTTTTGTTTCGTTTAACAGGACCCCTCGAAGCTGTACAAGAAGAGCGGAGAGGCTGGCCCAGCTACGGTGGAAAGCTTGCTTGCCGAGAGTAGAAACAGAGCCAGCAGCCCAGCTTTGAAGAAGCTTTCCCCGCTGCATTCGGACAGGCTGGAGTATGTGAAATCGGCCTTCTCTACTCCCATTGGCAGCCGTGATCCCGACTTGAAAGAGCGAGCCCAGGCCAACGGACCCCCGACGGTATCGGAGAAACTGGCCCAGCTGATCTCAACCTGCCCTCCAGCCAAGTCTTCCAAACCAAAGCAGAAGAAGCCGCCCATGACGGTCGTGTCCGGATATGCTAAGGATTCCGGAAAGAAGCTGCTGACGGCTGGGGCCGCGGCGGCTACTGTGACCAAGGACTTCCTGAAGAAACCGATTTCAAGTGGCGTCCTTGGCCTCGACTTGGGCAACAAGGAGTTTGCCAAGAAAGCCCCAGGAACTGGTGGCGGTTCCGGGGGTTTGATTAGTAAGGAAAACGGGAGCAAAAAAAATCCAGGGCCCTGTCCAAGCATGGCCGGGCTCACAAACAAGGACTATGAGAAAAGGCCACCCATCCTTAGCTGCCCGGTGGGACCGGTCAGCAAGGAAGGAGGAAAGAAACCATTGCTTGTGACGAGCATGGCACCGTCTGGAATGGCCAGCAAAGACTGTGGGAAAAGGCTTCTGGGGACCAGCAGTCCCATCGGATTGGTCAACAGGGATCCCGGGAAAAAATCTCTCGGCATGGTCAGCCCGCCCGGATTGATTCACAAAGACTCACTGAAGAAGCTTCCGTTACCTGGAAGCGCGGTTGGATTATTTAATAAGGATGTTGCAAAGAGACACCTGGGGTCCGACAACCCCGTCGGATCGGTCAGCAAGGACTCGGCGAAGAAGCCGACGAGTTTTGGGAGCTCGAGCGGATTGATTAACAAAGACTCCGGAAAGAAGCCATCAGCAGCCGGGCCCCCAATTGGGTTGATGGCGAAAGAGTCTGTCAAGAAACACATGGGGGTGGGCATTATGGCCTCTCTGACGCCGAAGGACTCTGGGAAGAAATCGATGGGGAGCACCAATTTGGTGGGCTTAGCCAGCAAGGACTTAGGGGCGCTGAAAGCTGACGCCGCCAACCTTCCAACGGAGCCCTACAAGCGGTGTTGTGGCAGCGGCTCAGTCCCTCTAGAAAGCCACATGCCTGCCGGGCTTCTGAAGGATGGGGCCGGGGGCAGTAAACCATTTGAAAAGCACCTGGCGAGACAGAGCAAAGACAGCCTCCCCGAAAAGTTGCCGTCCCAAGTTTCCAGTGGAGGCAAAGACGGGGCCTGTGGTCAGCAGGAGATCTCCCCCAGCGAACAGGGCCCGTCAGAGTCCTCAAAGCAAGAGAAACATCTCCCGGTGTATTGCACTTCTCCTGAATTCAGGACCGCCGGAGGCGCTTCGGAGATCTCCACCGCCAAGTCTCCATTTAGCGCCGTAGGGGAGGGGGGCCTCCCTTCCCCTTCCCCAACCGCCTCGGTCGCTACTTTAACCCACAGCCCCCCAGTGGTTCTGTCTCAGGTCCCTTCCAACCCGTTGCATTCAAGCCACATGCCGGATCTCTTAGACAGCCTGTCTGAGCAGAGCAACAAGACGCCGTCCGCCTCTGATGGTGCCCGCTCCAGTATGAACAGGCTGGGGAATCCCGGCTTGTACGCGAGCAGCAAAGGGGTCGTTCGGGAGCCGAGCAACCCCAACTCGGCCTCCACGGAGGAATCGAAACTGGGTCCTGCCCCAGGCAAGAAAGCCGGCCTGGTCAGTGAAAGCAACCTCCATGCTTCCATCGCCCCATCAGTGGTCAGCTTCTCCAGCTTGTTCAACAACAAGCCCTTTCTAAAGATGGGGGCCGTGAGCTCCTTAGGGAAATCGAGGCAAGGCCTGGAGATCCTGAGGGGGAGCAGTGGTGCCGACTCCCAGGGCAAGCCCTTAAAGAAACGGAAAGGGAGGAAACCCCGTTGGACGAAAACCTGCCAGTCTCCCAAAGAGCTCGAGTCAGAGAGGCCCGAGCTTTTAAAAAACGTCTCTTGCGGCCCGCTGTCCGGAAGCGGCCTGGAGCAGGCCAAGCTCTTTGAAAGCACGGGACCCCCGCCCACCTTCGCCAAACACGACTTCCTGAAGCGCCATTTGCCCAAACTGAGCAAAAGCGGCAGCCTGCAGTCGCTCTCCCTTCTGGGCAGCATGGAGAAGGAATCGGGGAAGTTCTACAGCGCCCACGTGCCGACGTCCGTGGGCTGCCTGTCAGACGACTTGTTCCCCAACATGTACAAACCCAAACGGAACCAGTCCAAATCCAAGGAGATGCCCCAGTTGGAAGGGCCACCCAAACGGGCCTTGAAAATCCCCGCCTCCAAAATCTTCTTGGCACAGTCCAAGGAAGAGCAGGAACCACCCATCCTGCACCCGGAAGTGGAGATCCCTTCCCTCCGCCAGAGCCTGGCGGGGGAAGCTTTCCCGAAGAAGCGAGGCCGCCCCAAACGTCAGATCCGCTCAGGGCTCAAGATGAAGCCGCCCGTCCTCTCTGCCGCCCCTTTCATCACTTCCGAAAAGGCCGACAAGACAGAGGACGCCATGGACCACCAGCTGCCGCCGCCGAGCGGGGACTTTTTCGACAGCGGCAGCCAGCTTAGCAACGCCGAAGAAAACGGAGACTCGAGCGCCGGTAGCGCCGGTAGCGCCAGCGAGCAGGAAGGCGAACCTGAGCACAAGGAAGTCAAGCGTAGCAACGGTCAGCTGGTGAAAACCATCATCCGGAAAATCAACAAGATGAAGACGCCCAAGAGGAAGAAGATCCTCAACCAAATCCTCTCCTCCTCGGCTGAGCCCAATAAGGGGAAAGTCCAGTCCAAAGCCCACGGCAGCGTCTCCAGCTTGGCGGCCACCTTCAGCACCAAACTGGGCCAGCAGATCAACGTGAGCAAGAAAGGAACCATCTACATAGGAAAAAGACGAGGCAGGAAGCCCAAAGCTAACTTGAACAGCCTCCTGGCGGCCGGTTCTAATTTCGCCGTCCTGGAGACATCAAGCCAACCGACCAGCGGAGGGATGCTGGGACAAACCAGCACCCCTTTGCTCCCGTCCGGCCCCGGTAGCAACCCCGAGGTTCTTCCGTCTCCCGTTTGCTCCCAGTCGTCGGGCACCAGTGGAGGACAGAGCCCAATCAGCAGCGACATGAGCTTTGTGGAGCCCAACTCGGTGCCCTGTTTCCACCTGCACAGCCGGCAAGGGAGCGTGGTGCAGACCTTGGCGATGCGCAAGGCCTCGCGGGCCAGGCGGAGGCTCTCCCCGCCTACCCTGCTCCCCAACTCCCCCTCCCACATGAGCGAGCTGGGCTCCCTGAAGGAAGCCACCCCGTCACCCATCAGCGAGTCCCACAGCGATGAGACAGTGCCCAGCGACAGCGGCATCGGCACCGACAACAACAGCACGTCGGACCGGGCGGAGAAATTCTGCGGGCCCAAGAAGCGGCGGCACTCCTTCGAGCACGTCTCCCTGGTGGCCCCCGAGGCCTCGGCCGTCCTGGGCGGCCTGAAGGAGAAGCACAAGCACAAGTGCAAGCGCCGCGGCCACGACTACCTGGCCTACGACAAGCTGAAGCGGCCGAAGCGCAAGCGGAAGAAGAAGTTCCCGCAGCTGCGGGGCAGGCAGGACCCCGATTTCCTGGCCGAGCTGGAGGAGCTGATCAGCCGGCTGAGCGAGATCCGCATCACGCACCGCAGCCACCATTTCATCCCCCGGGACCTGCTGCCCACCATCTTTCGTATCAACTTCAACAGCATCTACAGCCACCCCAGCTTCTCCCTGGACCCTCTGCACTACATCCGCAAGCCGGACTTGAAGAAGAAGCGGGGGCGCCCCCCCAAAATGCGGGAAGCCATGGCCGAGATGCCCTTCATGCATGGCCTCAGTTTCCCCCTTTCTGGTACGGGATTCTACCCTTCCTATGGCATGCCTTATTCCCCTTCGCCCCTGGCGGCACCCATCGGCCTGGGCTATTACGGACGCTACCCCCCTACCCTTTACCCTCCTCCCCCTTCCCCTTCCTTCACCACCCCGCTTCCTCCCCCCTCTTACATGCATGCCGGCCACCTGCTCCTCAACCCGGCCAAGTACCACAAGAAGAAACACAAGCTCCTGCGCCAGGAGGCTTTCCTGACCGCCAGCCGGGCGCCCCTTCTCTCCATGAGCACCTACCACCCCAGCGTCCCGCCCGAAATGGCCTACAGCTGGATGCTGGAGCACAAACACCGTCACCGTCACAAGCACCGGGAGCACCGCTCCTCGGAGCAGTCGCCGGTCTCCCTCGAGGCCTTGGCGCCCGCCGGCTCTTCGCGGACCGTCTTGGAGTCCCTGAAGCGCTACCGCTTCGGCAAGGAGGCCGTGGGCGAGAGGTATAAGCATAAGGAGAAGCATCGCTGCCACCTGACTTGCCCGCACCTCTCGCCCGCCAAGGGGCTGCTGGGGCGAGAGGAGCAGTGGGCCCGGCGGGAGACCGCCGAGAGCGGCGGCCGGACTTTGGGATTACAGACCCCTCTGCAGATAGACTGCTCCGATTCTCCTCCCAACCTCCCGCTGGGGAGGTTCACTCCCAGTTCCGAGCCGGCCAG